AAAAAAAAAAAAAAAAAAAAAAAGGAGAATATTCTACCTCAGAAATAATTGAGGTACGAGGTTAGTTTACATGGCTCATTATTGGAAACCGTAAGCTTATGGCCAAGTTCTAATTGACTGAGTTTAAATATTTAATGCTAAACTGGGCTGAACGGCGTTATTCCAAAACCACAATCCCTTAGTCATATCGCCGGCGGTACTCATTACCACCTGCTAGGTATCGCGTATAACAAATTGGCCACCAGAACCGCAGGAATTTGTGTTGAAACATTGGCAAATGTTCATTTTATGACTGTTAGAGGCAATTTTACAAGCTATTTATCCCTTGTAGTCGGTTAAAAACAAGCTTGTTGCATAATTTATCAGAGAATTTCGTGCTCAAAGGGTTAGTGTTATAAAAGAGTCAGGTATCAGACATTAAACGGCTGTTGAAAACGAACCCATTTTAAAAGCTCGCTTTTCTTACGGCAAGTCGTATCCATAGCACAAATTTAAGTTCAGTGTTTATTCCGAACGGCATGAATCAGTAGTCGCTGCTTTGAGAGTTGAAAACATAAGTTGTTACAACCAAAGGTATTCAATGTTATTCAGCTAAGGTAACAGTAATATTTTCCACCATTAGGCGTATACGAAAATTATCCACACTTCCAAGCAGTATCATTAAAAATTAAAGCCTCCAAGCAATTAGTGTCCAATGGAAGTCTACCAAAACACACACAACGCAACACACAAATAAGCAGAATAAACTCCAAAGGAATTCGATATGGGAGTAATTTCACTTCACCAGTCTGGGTTAAGAATATTCTCAATCACTTTTATAGATACACTTGATACGTTATCAAGCTCCTGTAGTTCATCATATGCAATAAAATCTATAACATAATTATGTTTTATAGCCTATTATTATACATTCATATCTGACGCTTTCACGATACTGTAAGGCCTCCAGAAACAGTTCAGTGGTCTTTGGCACGAAGCGGCCTTATCTTGAAAAGCTTAGAATAACTTAGTCCTGATGATTCACATTGGAAAGAAATCGTCGCTCCGTCTTTAATATATTACAAAAAGCAAATGTTTTCTTTTTTCTGTATATATGCTACTCGTTTCTTATTAAAACCTGTCTTCGTCCGGGGAGGAACTTCCCTCCCTGTCGTTTGCATCAACAATTTGCGACCCGTCAGCTTCGTGTTCTTCGTCATGCGTCTTTTTCGCGCCCATTTCAGCAGCATGCCGTTTGCGCCATTTCGTTCTACGGTTTTGGAACCAAACTTTAACTTGGCTTTCTGTCATTCCGAGAGAATACGCCAGTCTTGTCCTTTCCGGCCCGGCGAGGTATTTCGTCTGTTCGAAAGTTTTCTCAAGTGCAAATATCTGGTGACCACTAAACGTTGGTCGAGTGTGTTTCCGCTTACCGTCTGCTTCTCTTTCACTGCAGACTGGGTGACTCTGAGTGGCCGCTGTTGGAAACAAGCAGAAATCGGGAGAACAAACGGTCATCGTTTGGTTAATTTGGGATTAGCGGTATTAAGAGTGATTGTGTAATGCAATTAGCTAAAGCAAAGGGCTTAAAGAAGCATATTCGTAACTTAGTGACGTTTGCGTTGAACTCAGTAGCACGAATAAAATCGTGAATTGAGTAGTAAGAGATAATTGTATTGCTTGCCGAAACAAAATTTCATTCCGTCGTCAAATCATCAATTTGTCTCTACTCCAAGATGTGTTTTTAATGTGTAAATGCCGTTTGTTTAGGTGTAGGCTTTTAAGCAAATAAAAAGCGCCGAGAGGAAATGAAGAGGATATATGCTATTCTCAAGGATTACAGTATCTATTATCGTAATACTGTCAAATTAGTAAAGGGAATAATAACCTTGCTGTAGTTAAAGCCTTCCCATAAAATAACTAATAAAACAAGACTGCTATTGGTACGCTAAGCTTCGGGACAATTAAGTTTATTACCCTGCAGGGTCAACTTTGGTAGATGGCTTAAAATATTTTTCCGCGCTCGAAAGCACAATTTTTCCATACGCATTGGTGTTGTTTTGAAAGAAATTACAGTATTGTCAAATATCGATTTAAAAGTGCTCTTTGGCGTACTAAGCTTCCCCAAACATTTCTCCCGAAAATGTAGTTTCTAAGCTTTGCACGGAAAGTATATTTGTGTTTTCTATAGGAAGCCAAATAATTTTGTCTCATCGTAGCGAATCTAATGCCAGCTTTTTAAGATTTGCATCAGTTCTCACCTTAGCGCAACCACCAGCGCTCGATAACTGTTTAGATGAGTATGGTATAAATATTTTGGCTAGAAAGTTATTGAGATAAACAATTAATTTAATCCTTTGGCAGCTATGCGGGTAGCCATGGCATAATACTGGCTACAGTAAACCTTTTTGAAGGAAAATGCGACTGTTATACATGCAGTCATAGCCAGTAACTGTGATGCAACATACCGTTGTATCTCTCTCGCCACTGTGACTGCAGCATGTTACTCCAGAGGAAAGATACGTCAGGGCCGTAGCCGTACCGCCGCGCTGGTGGGGCAGGGTACGATCTGTAATGAGCTGCAGTGGGCATGCTGGCCGGTGGACGCGGATCCGGCTTGCTTAGTATATCATCTATCCTGTACGATGAAGTCGATTTGGTGACAACCGGTACTCGGGGTATCGGGGAAATCGGCTGCTTTACACCGGGAGAAACCGGAGGATAAGGGGGTATGTGAATATTCCGTGGCTTCACATCCACGAACGGGCTTAGATAGAAGGATGGCCGCTCCATGGTAGCCTTCTTGGTTTGCCGGGCTGCTCGTTGATCGATCGTCTCGAGATGTCGCTCTGTTGTGTTTTTCGTCCTGCTCGGGTGTCGAAGAATAAGTTAACATTAATAAACTATAGTTGACTTTAGCTCTGATGCGCCTGTCAGCAGTTAAGCCAAGCGTAACAACCTTGATTGATGGGCTGTCGTGGCAAACATTAATTGATATAGTAGGTTTGTAATGGAAGATAGCGAATAATGGAGTGCTCATGAGGCAAGCGGGCCAGCTGATTGGTTGATCATTGACAGGTGTTCTGGGGGGAAGCCAGCTTAATGCTCCTAAATGATTGAGGGTTTGTTAATGAATTTGCGTTCCACCTCAAAATAATGTTAGCGCGCGGGAAAAGGTTCTCGAATTGACTAACAGCAGGGAGATTGTGGCGCCGCTTTTAATAGAAAGCTCTTAATTGGCACCCTTAAGAAACATTTACCGATCATTTACAAATTGGCTTCATTTAAGAAGCTGAAATGAACCTTATCTGTAGTCTATTTATAGACCAATTGAAAACAATATATTCGCGCGTCATTGGCAATTTGGCCGTCTTTATGCAATAATTGTTTGCTGTGAGAGCAGTCCATGTGTTAAATGTGTCTATTGGTTTATTACTCGGCAAAAGCCAAACAATACGCTCGCCAAATGAATAACAAAAGGATAAAAAGGAGTGATGTTATAAAATGATAACGTCCAAACAGGGTGTTAATAACAATATCAAAACATTATCTGTGATGTTTTGAAATAATCCGCAAAAGGAGAAACAAGTTACGTTTTCTCACTTGCGTAAAAACAAAAATGCATGCCAAAATGTCCAGCGTTCACCGATTGTATCTTGTGGCTGCCAAACAAGTCAAATTATGCCCTTAACTCAATGAGCTAGCACTATACGTTATAAGCAGTTCTGAGCTTGCCTCATTTCAAGCCAACTTGGATATTTTAATTTCCGAAACATCTAATAAATACAAAGTAGCAATATACGAGATTGTTATCACGTTAGATTAACGTCATTTCGAGCTTAGCTTCATATAAAGAGACGTCTCGTCAATGTTTGATGTTTCTGACAGGGTTCAACAACAACAGAGAGCGACTCATTTTAAGCAATTCACCCTAAAAACTTTGTTTTTCTATCGCAAAATTCTTTTCTTATACATTGTATTGTCATTTAAGGACACAACGTTTCCTTCAAGGAATGGCAAATTTTGCATAAGATTACAAAGTTTTTTTTTTTTTTTTTTAAGGAAACAGGGTTTTAATTTCCTTACATCCAGTTCTTTTGGTTAACCAAGTTTCAAGGTTTAACAATGCTTGACACTTTACCGAATGTAGCTCTCTTTCTTGTTATAAGTCGTTTTGCTTCCTTTAGTAGATTGATATTTATTGTTCGACTTTCCTGCTAGCTTAAATAAAAATCTATAGCAAATTAAATTAAACAAACATCGAGGCTGCGAAATGAACACTATTATGGTAGCTAAGCTTTTCATCTTCTTTAACTCACTGTGCGGTGCCATATGAATGGGAATTTTATTGTAAAGAAGTTTAGGATTTTGGTAAAGATGAGCTGGTAAATACTTTTGCAGGAGAAAAAGAGAAAACTGGACATATTAACTTGTGTCAATAACAGGCCTTTAATGCTAATTCTGTTGATGCTTTTGAAGAGCAGTAATTTTCAATATTCACAGTTTTCAATAGTGTATCGTATTAACAAAACGTAATAAAAATTGTACAATAAACCGGTATTACAACAGCTCAATAGGAAAAGAAAACTAATTTTTCTTAGTTGCTTTAATGTGTTGTGTTAAATCCATATGTAATAAGTGATATTTGTTTCCCGTGGGTCCCGGCTCATTTCGTCAGCGTGCTGTCAACAATATTTACAGCTTTTTCTAAAAGCTCATCTTAATTTGAAAATTGAACCATTGCGGTTTTAGTCGACAAAGTGGTGCGCCAAAAAAAGGCATCCAAAACAGGTGAAAATGAGGACTAAAATTCAATTTAGAAACGTGTAAATTTAAATGATACCCATTGCTTTTAAGTTCATTTGAGAGTGCGCGGACAAAATAGCGTTTCTCGTAAGCACGAAATAACTGTAGCTCAAAGCGGCCAATGATCAGCTATTTCGATGAAAATCCATTAATTTTGCTAAGTTTTCTCGCTGCAGTTTCAGTAAAAATATCGTGCATTTACCTGCCTTTTAAAGATTCTAGCTTTATTTTGCTGTGCTTTCGTTATGGCATTGCGTATACTGTAACACAATGGGTGAAGGATTTCACATCAATGGTTTGTTCAGTCTTCCATAACCGTAATTTTCAGAAGCTTTGTCAGTGGGTATTTGTACATTTAGAGCTATTAAATGAATTAAATATTCTCTCAGTTTATGGAATAAAAATTGGATGAGCTCCCATTGATAGAGCTAAATTGGCAGCAAAATGCTGGTAAAATGTCAAACATTTCAAGTTAAAATTAAAAACATGGGTCACTTTAATGCTTTCGGGTTAGGCCAAAATTCTAATTAACCCCCATTCCCGCCATTGTGGCTCTCTCACTTCCTTATGTCAGGTTTAGTCACTTGTCGAATATTATCAGTCCACATATCGTAACCATTATTGGTGGGCTTCTTGTTATTTAAGTACGTTTTTAAATTTCCCAACATCTTAAAGCTAGGTAACACACACAAAATTCCTTATTGACATATGAATCAGTTGATTAAAATACTGGTTTAGAAAAAACGCAAATTCTTTAGCTATCTGCCGTTTTTCAGGTAAGTTTATTAAATTTTCAATGGTTTCGCATTTAATTTCTTCACCTTTCGACAAGATTTACACTCGCAGTGGTTTTCATAAAACTCTAGAAATATCGAAGTCTGAGATGGTGCCCAATATTTATGCACAAAATTATTTTTAATCATAACCCTAACGTGAGCAGGACCATCAAAATTTTTGAAAATGGAACTTTTTCTTCAGAAAAAAAAAAAAACTTTTTTTGAGGCCATATCATGTGGACACAGGTAACTGGACTAAGAATTTCACCTAATCAGTGAGAAAGTGGTCAGTTGCACCAATTTTATGAAAGTGATTTCTGGTGCCAACACTGATGTACTCGCAAACAAGTCGAAGGCGTGTATATATGTGCCAGTGAGAAATAGGAATCTCGATGTATATCTTTTTATGTATAGTTCGCAGTCATAAGAGTTGATTACATATGTTGTGAAATCCTTTAATACATGTAAGCAGACTAAACTCACTCAAAATTAAAGCCCTGAAATCTCAGACGCAAAAGCCTTTTCAGTTCAATAATGATCGTATAGGCTTATATTTTTGGGGCTCCTAAAGAGCAATAGTTTCCTTCAATAATGAAGTCCTCCACTTTCAGACTTCGTATGATCGATAAATTTAAAACTTGTTTGATGTTTCACATTGTCATGTCGAGGCATTTTTAACTGTTGAACGTGCAGCGTTTCTTTTCGTCTCAAATTTTTCAGACACCTGTAAGGCTGGCCATTTTTGAAACCAAAATTTCCTACCGGTGACAAGGCCCTCCGAAAGTACATGAAAGCACACCAAAAAAAAAAAAAGTTTTCTTAACAAAGATAAGTCACTGGCATATTGTTATCGGCGTTTTACTGTGACAGGACATCGAGATATATTTTCTAACAAGTTCGTTGGTTTCTTATCAGTTGTTTTATTTTGAAGTGAAATTTGATATTTGGTTCTGTTTGGACGGAGAGGATTAGATGAAAAAAGTAACGGCTAACTCAGCTAATTAACCTTGTCGCAAATTCATTAAGTTAGATTACACGACTTACCGGCTCGATTGATCTGATCAATCTTTAGCAAATCTTACAGACGAGTTGGTAATACGCTTGACACTCTTGTTCTGTTACACGGTTGTTACCCGTTTTGGTGGCGCCACAACAAAATAGCACACCGTCATAAAGACTTATTTACATCATCAAAACGCACAAGAAGTTATTTCTATTCAGAGCCCTGACAACCCCTCGTCCATAGATATGCAAACAACGATTCATAACGAGCGAGAAGTAGTAAGCTTAGCAAGTCTCGAGTTGGGATTTAGAGATTAACGCCCAGCGAAGCTCCAACCCCATGTTTGTGTTGCGTCTGATGTACATTGATTCCTACCTTTGCTGGGATTAATCTGCGACTGTGTTTGGTTTGCCAGATGCAAATCAAAGCTCTTTGCAAAATAGAAGTTTATAACTAAATTTCTATACCTCTAGTTTTCACGATTCTTGACCATGCAAATTATGCGTGGCTTAAGTCATCAGTAAGCGGAGGTTTTACCTTATACAAACAAACACCAATTCTGTAATTAAAGCATTCTTTTATTTCCATTTGTAAAAGAGTAATAATGGACGGCAATTTGGATCAAACAAAAGAAATTACTTAAGGTGACAAAAGAGTTAAGCTTCTTTTTCAATTATGCTTAATTAGAACATGTTTGATGCGTTTCTTTTCAACACTGGGCATGATTCCATCATGAATGGGCTGCTCATGAGGTTTGCTAATGCTCCACTGTATAGTAGAATCAATCATTCAACCCTTTCTCTTCCAGAACTACTCATGCAAAAAGTACAAAATGTTTCATTTTCAATATAATTATCTTCTTATAATAAGCAAGCAGTCCCGTCTATGAGTGTTGTTTCCAGTTCTAGCTTTCATTGGGCGGTTATTACTTAGCTCTTATTAACCGAGCAGGAGGTCTGTATGGGAGAATCTTGACCGAGGTCGGGAGTATAGACCGAACGCAGTGAGGTCTGTACACACGACCGAGGTCAAGATTCTCACATACAGATCGACTAAGCTCGGTTAATAAGATGTTTATTATATAGCAAACAACAAAAAATTAATTCGTTTAATGTAACTGGTTTGTACTAGCTGACATTTTGCTTGCGAACGGCGATGAGCTGAACTTTATTCTGCCAAACTCGTCCTCTTTACGTTTTTGTTTTTTTCCTCATCGGGCTTCGCACTTCCATAATATGCATATGTATATTTCCTGGAACTAACATCTTGGAAGAAAATAGTCAATATTTTTGTATTTAGTTTGCACCTTTTTCACGGCAAAATGTAATCGGTCGAGATGCCGGTCTAGATGGGAAAATCTAGACCGCGGTCAATGTCGATCTCAGCCAATCAAATTCGTGAATTCGGTAGTTCCCAGTCCTTGTGAGACACAGCCATGTAATAAATGAATATAAACAGACTTTAAAGTTAAAACCTGTCAACTGTTAACGGGAGCCTGATTGATTCTAAGAGTTCTAGGGTTTGTTAATCTTTTGATGGATCGGGAAGAGACCTGTTCTAACATTTACAAGGTTTAGGTTAATTAAATCAATGGGTCCATTGACTTTTCGTGTTTGAAACTAAATATGAAAGAAACATCGATATCCTCTTGAAGTAAGCGAGCCACTTAGCTTGATGCACACCGATGACTTCACAAACACAAGCACACACCTGGTTTGCTCTCGGATTCTGCCACCTGTGCAGGACATCAACTGCGTTATAAAGAGATTAGTTTTCCGTTTATTTTTTCCATAAGCTTTTTTAGATTGATCCCATAAATAAGAGTTTGGATGTTTCATTTCACTTTGGTTGACATTTTTCTCCAGGTTACCTGTTCAGCTTTATGGAGAACCGAATAAGCGTTTAACGACGTTCGCGCCCACTGTTACTGCGCATCCTTACTGCGCACGTAGTTCATGTCGCAACGTCACGCCACGTCAGCTATGGGAAAAAACATTATGCAAGTATAAGGCTTGGTACCGGTCCCGTTAACGTCACCAGCAGTTTACTCTCTTAAATAGTCCGTGACCCCCTCTTTTTTTCGTTGATAACTTGCTTTCCTAATTTTCGCCGTTAAAAAAAAAAAAAAGAAATTGTACGTGAGAAGTTACAAAATTATCATTTCGCCTTTTGTGTTCTCGTGCTACCGAACTGAGTTTTCTTCCAGTTTGGATGGGCAAGACCAGTATGTTTTCTTTTTAAGGTCTATTCTACCTAAGGGAATGATATCAGCTGCAAAAGTTTACTTTATTGACTTAGTTGTGTTGAATTGAGTACGTTCACCTGATCTAAATTTTACTACATGTAGCTTCCACTTCTTTTTTACGATAGTTTAAACTTTGATCGTCTACTCCGAAAGTTTCTTAAAACACAGGGTCTTTAATGCGCCCTATCTCGTAAACAAGTACGGTGACCGTCCATATTATTAAAATATTAATTTTGCTTTTTAAGCTAACGTTGATGTTAACCTTACTGCATGGCAAGTTTAAAAAAAAAAATCTGTACTTGAGAACATTTTGAACATTCTTAAAATAAAATCAGAAAGTGAAATCAATTCTCTATTGAGGCAGAGATTTGTCTGCTCATTACTTTCGAGGTAAAAGCTTTTTTCTTTCTTGTTTTTTTTTAACTGAAGGGGCTGACGTACAGCCTTGGCATAATGGATTTTGTATTTACACCGAATAAGAGTGTTGCCGTGCGTGATGAGTTCCTTTTGAGTATACTGTTGTTATAATCAATCAAATTCCGGCGACAACCGAAGACGTCCGAGTTTTGATAGCTCTTTTTATTAACGAGTGCTCGAACATACTCACAATTGCTTTCTGCATTAGACAACTTATATTGTCGTAACGTATATTGTCGTAAGAATATTGATCGCTAAGTCAGGGAGTTACTTTATCTAAAATCTATTTTCCTACTCGATCATATCAGGACATAAAAATCTCGAGATGAAGCGGAAACCAAACTTGAACGTGAATTAAAACAACTGAAGTCAATATCCGTGTCGCTAGTAAATATCTTGCAGTATTTGGAAATGAGTTCATTACTCAAAGAGCCCTTACTCTCTATATTGCTTCAGTTGATTAAAGCAAGTCGAATCTTCTATCTGAGGAAAACATTTATTGTTAAGCAATGACAGTTAAATTCCAATCATGGCAGCTCAGTGTCGCCGGATGAAATGGTTTTGGCTACGAATGTTAGTCGAATTTATTACGTTAGTTACCAGGCTCATCTGCATTGCCATCTTGTTAATATTCTCATACAATTTAGCTACCATAATAACGTTAAGTCGCATGGCATTCTAGCAAGAGAAAGAGCTAGAGCGCAATAACCCTAGTTAACGCTCCTTGCCCGGATCGGTGTAAATGCCTTCAAGAATGGTTCTCCACCGGGCACAAACGGACAGTTTCACTGAGTATGAATCAAATTATAATCGTTCTTTTGTTTTCATAACGGACTCATTCAAACGCTAGAAATGGAGTCTTCAACATGACCGCCGCGGCAGTTTCCCAAGACAATAAAACGGCGGCCACGTTAGTGTTCCAAACCAGTCCTGTTGGAGTTGAACTCTTTTCTCATGTAAACAATTTCTCTTTTGTTCCAAAATGTTTGCATGGCTGCTGGCTGCTTGAGTAAAACACGCGCTATTAAGAACTTCTTAGTAGGTCATAAGGAAAATAAGCGATTCGTGCTTTGGAAAGAAGAAACGAAAAAACGAAAAAGAAGAAACAAAACAAACAGTGCCGGTACTTATTCTAAATCAGTATAGGTTGTCGTAGTATCATTTAAGTTTTTTTTTTTTCACAACAATATCCAAGCGCACCCCCAAAAATGGATTTCTCGACGAGTGGAAGTTTTACACGGTATAAATGCAGGTTGACTGTTCATGGTTCAGTGAGAAGGAGCACACGCCATAAATTCCACGCGTGGATAAATCAGAAATGACTGCCGTTGTACAGAGTTACCTGTTGATAATGGCTCGGTGCAGCTTCATTTTCTCGTATCATAGTTGAAAAGGAAAATCTTTAGCGTGCAGTACTAAGGACTCGTAGAAAAAGGGTTGTGTCGCTTTATTGCGTGGAGTTATTATATTTAAGTCGTGAACTAAATCCCTTATTTATCAGGTATTTTCGGGTCCCATGCGAGTAATATCAACCCTTTTCCTTTTACGGACCTATCCTGCGAACGCAGACGTGTTCTCGGATATGTCGCTTGTCGCTTGTTTGTCTTGTTTATTTTCGGCGGAGACAAGCGACAGCCGGAAATACGTCTGTGTTCACAGGCTATTGCGCACCTGGAGCACGTAAAACACATTTTTAAAGATTCATCTAAGTAAAATAAAGCCTAATCAAAAACTGAGTTCTCCCGGGTATTAACAATAATAATAATAATAATAATAATAATAATAATAATAATAATAATAATAATAATAAGCCAACAATGTAAGGTATATGTTTTTAAGCGAGTGGCGCACGGGCTAAACGGGACTAAGCTAATTTTATTTTAATGCGCATGCGTTTTAAACAACCTGTTATTATCAACGAGAGGAAGTTCTCGAGTTAGAACCCCGTCTCACTTTGTTAAAAAAGCAACAAAATTGAACAATATGAATCTCCTTGCATTTCAAGCTTACAACGGCCAGAGCGAGTTTACTGGTAACAAAATTTGTCGATAGCACACCGAAGTTTATTTCGACGTTAAGGGTTACAGTGCAATAACTTTTTGTTCTATGAACGAGAAATGTTGATCAACCACACCACCTGCTTCACTTTAATTTGCCCAGTTTTATTTCTCTTTTGGTTCCAAAGCCGCAATTCGATTTAAAGTTTAATTTATGAACTGTTTACTTTGCTATTGTTATTTCAAATGCAAAACACGCTGGGTGCAACGAAGAATTGCTTCTGCCAATAAGAACAAAGGCAATTTGAACAGAGCTTAGGGGTGAATTTCATCAATATATAGAATTCGTAAACAGCTGTTCTGTTTAAAAAGTTTTAAGGCGCTAAATACAGCTTCATCTCTCTGGCAGTCTTTCCTGACGCTGCTGCAGTTCGCGGTGTTCAGCGAAATTAAGCTCAAAAGATAGATAACATCACAGATATGGCAAAACTTTTAACGGAAGTCCGCGAAGTTTATAACAGAGCTCTGACGAGACTATCATGTGCTTCTAATCGTTCTGATTAAGTGAGTTTCTACCTGGGCAACTTCGGCCCGTCGTTCCAGTTGCCAAACAGATCTCTAGAACTTGGCACCCTTTGTCAACCGATCCTAAATATACAGTAAGATGAGAACTGATGACGACATTGTTACCGGAGTACTGGCTTTGGTTGGAAGCTTGATTGCTATTGTTGGTAATAGCCTGGTATGTTTGACAATTTACAGAAATTTGCGTCTTCGCACTCCTACAAACGTGTTCATCCATGCATTGGCTATAATCGGCCTTCTGTTCGCCGTGCTTATTGGGCCGTCTATAACAGTGACGTGCTTTGCTGGAAGACAGTGGATTTTTGGACAGCACTTCTGCAATTTCCAAGCATTCATGATCCTGTTCACTGAATTTGCAACTCTTCACACCATCGCACTGACTGCGTTCAATAGATTTTGTCGAATGACAAAGCCTCACCTGTACAAGAAAATCTTTCCCTCCAAACGGCGCTCTACCGCCATCCTGGTGTTGACGTGGGCCATCCAACTTGGTTTTATTTCTGCATTTTCGTTACCGTCCTTCTCAAAATACGAATTCAGCGCCAGGCGAGCCACCTGCGTGCTAGTGTTCGACAGTAAAAGCGCGGACCTAATCTACTGCGTTACCAAAACGGCGTTTTATTTTGGTGTGACATCCGTTGTCGTTGTGTATTGCTATTCCAAAGTTTTCTGGAACATTCGAGAACACGCTCGGAAAGTGTCGAACACCTTCAGTCGCACTCGCGAACGCGTCAACGTGGAAGAGATCAAAATAACACGAACTGTGTTAGGCGTTGTAATGTTCTTCCTGATCTGCTGGATCCCAGAGTATATCATATCTATGATAATTCGGCTGCATCCAAATCATTTGCATCCTATCCTTGACCGCATTGTTGTATTGTTTCTCTTCTTGAGCTCCTCGCTCACTCCGTGGGCATATGCGGTGACGAACAGGGAATTTCGGGCCGAATTTAAGCGGTTGTTAACTTGCAAAACCAGGCAAGAAACGGAAATTGTGGAGATGCCGGAGGTTGTTGCATAAGATGTACCCGGCGCCATAAACGTGCTTTACAGTCTCCAGCTAAATGTTGAATTGTTTATATACTGAAACTATCAGGAATTGGACTGGTCGAGATAATACGCTCTGTAATTAAACAATGTGTTTTACTTTCAGTACAGATAACGGTAGTCAAAAGCCAAGAAAGATGATTTAAAATTTCTTTTCGGGCCCCAATTAACTCCATTGTGTATTCGTGTTCCGTATTTTGCGACCCGAGCAGTTATTTACTAAAAAACAACATTACCAACAGCAGTATTTCCACGCACAACTCGATATTTCGTAAATATATTTACTCTTAGGTTTTAAAGGCTACTTTTCAAAATTACGATCGAGCGAGACATCCTTCATCCAAACCGGTAAAACTATATTTTGCCAAAGAAGACTACTAAAAATCCAGTTGATTCATTTTCCTATTTTCTTTACTGATGTTGGAACTCTGCTGAAGGCTCGAAGATTGCGGCGCCTTTAGAATCAAGAAAACTATGTAACGAAAACCTTCTTCTCTTTGCATGACTCTTTCGTATTGGTAAGGAATACGAGTGCAACAGAGACAAAGCAATGATGTAATTAAAGCTTTTTTTTAGCTGGTCATGAAGTAATTTCCTCAAGATCTATTCAAATTATCTTTACATTAGAGTTCGCTCTACTTAAAAAGTAATTTTAGTTTATTTAAAAATAATGATAAAAAATATACCTAGATGAATACAAGTTTCCGTTACATTTCTAGGATTTCAATGTTGAAAGAGGTGAGTAAGAAATTTTAACAAATTAAAATTTGACCAAATAAGCAAATGTTTCTCCCACCATTGAATATCGGCCTTAGTTCCAAAGAAAATGAATTGCTAAGAAACAATAATATAACAAAAATGAGTTAGAGAAACTATTCGAAATGATCTTTTACAGCTTTTAGTTACTCTCATTTATTAAGAGATTTGCCGCGTGGCATGTAGAAGAGCAAAAGAAGGTGAGTCCCCTATGAGACATAACACCTAACCCATCCCAAGTCAAAAACTTCAACCCGTACCTAACCTATTGGAGAATTAGGAAAAAAAAATACAGAAACGATTCTCAAGAGAACGGCTTGCGTAAGATTAATGTGGCTGCATTCAGGGTATACAGTTCTGTATGTTCGGTTATTGTCGCATCAATGACGTTATATAAACGAAATAACAGTCAATGGAATTTTAAAGGACCCTAGTTAGCCTCGCCATTTTTTTTGATGCCATCGAAATTATTGATATGTAAATTATTGGTGTGATAAAGGCACAGAGTTTCAAATGTTAACTCTTCCGAGGAAACAAAACAAAACAAAACAAAACGAGTATCGAAAGTACGAAGTTCTGGCAAGGAAGGTCATCGGATAATTAGTGGTAACAATTCCTTGAGAACGCACCTGACTGAAGGTTACCATGGTTACGAATTGCCAGAAGGCTGGCTTGAATAACCCATTTCTACCTATATTTCAAACTGGCTAAATTCGAAACAAATTATTTATAGTCTCTCAATTCCTATTTTGGAAAAAAACAAAAGGTTAGAAAGCAGCCCCTTGGGATCGGAATAAAACCCGCGATATGGACGCTAAAGGACTAAATTTTTCGCATTTTGTTGATTTTTCTTAATCTGCATACGATACTCACCTGTCCAAAACGTTTTGCTGTCCACGCGGGGATGGCTGTTTTTACTTTTTATCATTATTATTATTTTTCACTGCATTTCTTGTAATTTTTCAACCGCCATTGTTTCAACACTTAACTGATCCTAGAGTCCAAGGAGGCTTGGTCGCTAATTAAGCGGAAGTGACGTCACATACTCAACCAACTAAGCGCACATGGTTAGGTTTCTCTTACAAACTCTTTAAGAGCGCTTGCTTGTTTACATGACTTAAAATTTTCATTGTCATTTTGGCCAATATTAGGCCTTTTCCGTTTTCACCTGCTCATGGCGAACATCCCTCAAATTTGGACGGATGGTTCGAGGAGTTATCGTTTCGATAACTCTAATATCTTTTCACTCTATTCTCACTTTTAGATGACTCTAAAAGGACACGGTCCGCGCGGAGACGGTGTCAGTCTAGAAAAGTTTTCCCAAGAAAAAATCAAGCATTATAACCTTTTTTAAATTTTTGCAGAATACCTTAAACGAGACAGGTGTATATTAATATAGAAATACATTTCGTTTAATAGTTTTTCGACGACAATTCAACGATTCCAAAATTACATAGGCACATTTGTGTTTGTGGCCCGCGGCGGCGGGAGTTAGTAATAGCTAATGTTCAAGGTAGAGCAATTAATATTTAACGTTGAACTGTTTTATTATATAACTATTAGTTAATCTTTGTTAATATTTCCGATATTCATCAGGATACCATGAATGACGCAGGTGAATATTAAAATAGAAACACATTTCGTGTAATTGTTTTTCGACGGTATTTCGGCCCGCGACGACGGTAATTAATAACATGCCAGTTCCAAGGTAGAGCAATTATGCAGCATTTCATTAATACTTGTTAAGAATTAGCTACTTTTAGTTAATTTCTCCCCTTTTAAAGGCAAATAAAACTTTGTTTTCAGAAGTTTTTCTCTTGAACAACTTGTTTATAGATGGCCAGAAAAAAAATTTAACTCCCTGCGTCGCGAACCATTAGTAAGTCATTGTGTCGATAATGAACAACGTCTTTAAGCTTAGAGGGTACTTTGGTAGTTATTCATTATTGAACTATTGCGAAATGTGACCTCGAAAAGCTCAATTTTGAAGTGCGCGGTGAGCGTACAGGAACCAAATGTCAGGTTTAAACTACTTCAGCCTGACACTTGGCGACAATATGAAACTTATCATTCGCGAAAACCTCAGATTTTTAGTTTTCGAGATTTTGAAATTTTTGGCGAAAAAATGATGTCACACAACTGTGCCAATTTTTTTTTTTAAATATTGCATATCTAACTAAGCTTGCTTAAATTTCTTGCGATATGTCTATCCGTACAAAAGATATAACATAATATAATTCATCTATTGTGGTCATGCCGCCAAACATCTCACTTTTGAAATAAACTTACTGAACGGCTGAATATTTAAATTTACTTCCCAGAGATTATGCTTTGACAAATATTACTGCTTTGGGTTTGAGGCCAGATATCTCTCAATTTGCGCTTCTTATCAATTACTGCTTTCTCTTAGTACGATATCACATACGGCTCCCTAAAACAAAAGATGATCATCCAAATCTTACGCATTTCATATGCACACTAAAATCACAATATGAAATAGAAACAAAAAGTGGAGACACAGAGAAATGGAAACCTCTCACAGGATATATGAGGATTTAATTAATATTTTAGATTATATTTTCTATACCTATCGGTATCAATCTCCTGCCCATAAGTCTATTTCTAATCTCCTGTCAGATGCATAANTATGTTTTTAAGCGAGTGGCGCACGGGCTAAACGGGACTAAGCTAATTTTATTTTAATGCGCATGCGTTTTAAACAACCTGTTATTATCAACGAGAGGAAGTTCTCGAGTTAGAACCCCGTCTCACTTTGTTAAAAAAGCAACAAAATTGAACAATATGAATCTCCTTGCATTTCAAGCTTACAACGGCCAGAGCGAGTTTACTGGTAACAAAATTTGTCGATAGCACACCGAAGTTTATTTCGACGTTAAGGGTTACAGTGCAATAACTTTTTGTTCTATGAACGAGAAATGTTGATCAACCACACCACCTGCTTCACTTTAATTTGCCCAGTTTTATTTCTCTTTTGGTTCCAAAGCCGCAATTCGATTTAAAGTTTAATTTATGAACTGTTTACTTTGCTATTGTTATTTCAAATGCAAAACACGCTGGGTGCAACGAAGAATTGCTTCTGCCAATAAGAACAAAGGCAATTTGAACAGAGCTTAGGGGTGAATTTCATCAATATATAGAATTCGTAAACAGCTGTTCTGTTTAAAAAGTTTTAAGGCGCTAAATACAGCTTCATCTCTCTGGCAGTCTTTCCTGACGCTGCTGCAGTTCGCGGTGTTCAGCGAAATTAAGCTCAAAAGATAGATAACATCACAGATATGGCAAAACTTTTAACGGAAGTCCGCGAAGTTTATAACAGAGCTCTGACGAGACTATCATGTGCTTCTAATCGTTCTGATTAAGTGAGTTTCTACCTGGGCAACTTCGGCCCGTCGTTCCAGTTGCCAAACAGATCTCTAGAACTTGGCACCCTTTGTCAACCGATCCTAAATATACAGTAAGATGAGAACTGATGACGACATTGTTACCGGAGTACTGGCTTTGGTTGGAAGCTTGATTGCTATTGTTGGTAATAGCCTGGTATGTTTGACAATTTACAGAAATTTGCGTCTTCGCACTCCTACAAACGTGTTCATCCATGCATTGGCTATAATCGGCCTTCTGTTCGCCGTGCTTATTGGGCCGTCTATAACAGTGACGTGCTTTGCTGGAAGACAGTGGATTTTTGGACAGCACTTCTGCAATTTCCAAGCATTCATGATCCTGTTCACTGAATTTGCAACTCTTCACACCATCGCACTGACTGCGTTCAATAGATTTTGTCGAATGACAAAGCCTCACCTGTACAAGAAAATCTTTCCCTCCAAACGGCGCTCTACCGCCATCCTGGTGTTGACGTGGGCCATCCAACTTGGTTTTATTTCTGCATTTTCGTTACCGTCCTTCTCAAAATACGAATTCAGCGCCAGGCGAGCCACCTGCGTGCTAGTGTTCGACAGTAAAAGCGCGGACCTAATCTACTGCGTTACCAAAACGGCGTTTTATTTTGGTGTGACATCCGTTGTCGTTGTGTATTGCTATTCCAAAGTTTTCTGGAACATTCGAGAACACGCTCGGAAAGTGTCGAACACCTTCAGTCGCACTCGCGAACGCGTCAACGTGGAAGAGATCAAAATAACACGAACTGTGTTAGGCGTTGTAATGTTCTTCCTGATCTGCTGGATCCCAGAGTATATCATATCTATGATAATTCGGCTGCATCCAAATCATTTGCATCCTATCCTTGACCGCATTGTTGTATTGTTTCTCTTCTTGAGCTCCTCGCTCACTCCGTGGGCATATGCGGTGACGAACAGGGAATTTCGGGCCGAATTTAAGCGTTTGTTAACTTGCAAAACCAGGCAAGAAACGGAAATTGTGGAGATGCCGGAGGTTGTTGCATAAGATGTACCCGGCGCCATAAACGTGCTTTACAGTCTCCAGCTAAATGTTGAATTGTTTATATACTGAAACTATCAGGAATTGGACTGGTCGAGATAATACGCTCTGTAATTAAACAATGTGTTTTACTTTCAGTACAGATAACGGTAGTCAAAAGCCAAGAAAGATGATTTAAAATTTCTTTTCGGGCCCCAATTAACTCCATTGTGTATTCGTGTTCCGTATTTTGCGACCCGAGCAGTTATTTACTAAAAAACAACATTACCAACAGCAGTATTTCCACGCACAACTCGATATTTCGTAAATATATTTACTCTTAGGTTTTAAAGGCTACTTTTCAAAATTACGATCGAGCGAGACATCCTTCATCCAAACCGGTAAAACTATATTTTGCCAAAGAAGACTACTAAAAATCCAGTTGATTCATTTTCCTATTTTCTTTACTGATGTTGGAACTCTGCTGAAGGCTCGAAGATTGCGGCGCCTTTAGAATCAAGAAAACTATGTAACGAAAACCTTCTTCTCTTTGCATGACTCTTTCGTATTGGTAAGGAATACGAGTGCAACAGAGACAAAGCAATGATGTAATTAAAGCTTTTTTTTAGCTGGTCATGAAGTAATTTCCTCAAGATCTATTCAAATTATCTTTACATTAGAGTTCGCTCTACTTAAAAAGTAATTTTAGTTTATTTAAAAATAATGATAAAAAATATACCTAGATGAATACAAGTTTCCGTTACATTTCTAGGATTTCAATGTTGAAAGAGGTGAGTAAGAAATTTTAACAAATTAAAATTTGACCAAATAAGCAAATGTTTCTCCCACCATTGAATATCGGCCTTAGTTCCAAAGAAAATGAATTGCTAAGAAACAATAATATAACAAAAATGAGTTAGAGAAACTATTCGAAATGATCTTTTACAGCTTTTAGTTACTCTCATTTATTAAGAGATTTGCCGCGTGGCATGTAGAAGAGCAAAAGAAGGTGAGTCCCCTATGAGACATAACACCTAACCCATCCCAAGTCAAAAACTTCAACCCGTACCTAACCTATTGGAGAATTAGGAAAAAAAAATACAGAAACGATTCTCAAGAGAACGGCTTGCGTAAGATTAATGTGGCTGCATTCAGGGTATACAGTTCTGTATGTTCGGTTATTGTCGCATCAATGACGTTATATAAACGAAATAACAGTCAATGGAATTTTAAAGGACCCTAGTTAGCCTCGCCATTTTTTTTGATGCCATCGAAATTATTGATATGTAAATTATTGGTGTGATAAAGGCACAGAGTTTCAAATGTTAACTCTTCCGAGGAAACAAAACAAAACAAAACAAAACGAGTATCGAAAGTACGAAGTTCTGGCAAGGAAGGTCATCGGATAATTAGTGGTAACAATTCCTTGAGAACGCACCTGACTGAAGGTTACCATGGTTACGAATTGCCAGAAGGCTGGCTTGAATAACCCATTTCTACCTATATTTCAAACTGGCTAAATTCGAAACAAATTATTTATAGTCTCTCAATTCCTATTTTGGAAAAAAACAAAAGGTTAGAAAGCAGCCCCTTGGGATCGGAATAAAACCCGCGATATGGACGCTAAAGGACTAAATTTTTCGCATTTTGTTGATTTTTCTTAATCTGCATACGATACTCACCTGTCCAAAACGTTTTGCTGTCCACGCGGGGATGGCTGTTTTTACTTTTTATCATTATTATTATTTTTCACTGCATTTCTTGTAATTTTTCAACCGCCATTGTTTCAACACTTAACTGATCCTAGAGTCCAAGGAGGCTTGGTCGCTAATTAAGCGGAAGTGACGTCACATACTCAACCAACTAAGCGCACATGGTTAGGTTTCTCTTACAAACTCTTTAAGAGCGCTTGCTTGTTTACATGACTTAAAATTTTCATTGTCATTTTGGCCAATATTAGGCCTTTTCCGTTTTCACCTGCTCATGGCGAACATCCCTCAAATTTGGACGGATGGTTCGAGGAGTTATCGTTTCGATAACTCTAATATCTTTTCACTCTATTCTCACTTTTAGATGACTCTAAAAGGACACGGTCCGCGCGGAGACGGTGTCAGTCTAGAAAAGTTTTCCCAAGAAAAAATCAAGCATTATAACCTTTTTTAAATTTTTGCAGAATACCTTAAACGAGACAGGTGTATATTAATATAGAAATACATTTCGTTTAATAGTTTTTCGACGACAATTCAACGATTCCAAAATTACATAGGCACATTTGTGTTTGTGGCCCGCGGCGGCGGGAGTTAGTAATAGCTAATGTTCAAGGTAGAGCAATTAATATTTAACGTTGAACTGTTTTATTATATAACTATTAGTTAATCTTTGTTAATATTTCCGATATTCATCAGGATACCATGAATGACGCAGGTGAATATTAAAATAGAAACACATTTCGTGTAATTGTTTTTCGACGGTATTTCGGCCCGCGACGACGGTAATTAATAACATGCCAGTTCCAAGGTAGAGCAATTATGCAGCATTTCATTAATACTTGTTAAGAATTAGCTACTTTTAGTTAATTTCTCCCCTTTTAAAGGCAAATAAAACTTTGTTTTCAGAAGTTTTTCTCTTGAACAACTTGTTTATAGATGGCCAGAAAAAAAATTTAACTCCCTGCGTCGCGAACCATTAGTAAGTCATTGTGTCGATAATGAACAACGTCTTTAAGCTTAGAGGGTACTTTGGTAGTTATTCATTATTGAACTATTGCGAAATGTGACCTCGAAAAGCTCAATTTTGAAGTGCGCGGTGAGCGTACAGGAACCAAATGTCAGGTTTAAACTACTTCAGCCTGACACTTGGCGACAATATGAAACTTATCATTCGCGAAAACCTCAGATTTTTAGTTTTCGAGATTTTGAAATTTTTGGCGAAAAAATGATGTCACACAACTGTGCCAATTTTTTTTTTTAAATATTGCATATCTAACTAAGCTTGCTTAAATTTCTTGCGATATGTCTATCCGTACAAAAGATATAACATAATATAATTCATCTATTGTGGTCATGCCGCCAAACATCTCACTTTTGAAATAAACTTACTGAACGGCTGAATATTTAAATTTACTTCCCAGAGATTATGCTTTGACAAATATTACTGCTTTGGGTTTGAGGCCAGATATCTCTCAATTTGCGCTTCTTATCAATTACTGCTTTCTCTTAGTACGATATCACATACGGCTCCCTAAAACAAAAGATGATCATCCAAATCTTACGCATTTCATATGCACACTAAAATCACAATATGAAATAGAAACAAAAAGTGGAGACACAGAGAAATGGAAACCTCTCACAGGATATATGAAGATTTAATTAATATTTTAGATTATATTTTCTATACCTATCGGTATCAATCTCCTGCCCATAAGTCTATTTCTAATCTCCTGTCAGATGCATAAATCATTTTACTTTTGATGTACCACATGCCTTTGGTCTGTTCTTTATGTTGCTATAGCACAACCTCAAGCTGTAATGATAACTATCTATTTTTTTTTCTTTGCCCCTTGTCGTTACTGTATTTGTTAGTAGTGTAAGTCGTGTGACTGTATTTGTTAGTAATGTAAGTCGTTTAGATATTGTAATTTAAATAGTGTAAATAATTAGAGCAATATAATGTAATAGAGCTAGTGTTGTAAGTAAGCATTGTTTTCCCTTGTGTTATTGCAAATAATACTAAAAAAAGATATAACATTTCTTTCAAAAATTGGAATTTCACATCCTTTTTTGTTTATTTAGCCGGACTGCAAACTTCTTTAACGTGGTTCAAAAACTGCCCCCAGCCCCGTGGCCCCCACCCCCATCAGCCCAGAGGTCTTTTTTGGGATGTAAGACCTCCATAAGGGAAAGTTGGCTAAAAAAAAAAGTTTTTTTCCAAATCCCAACCTCGTATTTTAAATTGGCTCAGTGATTTGAAGTCGATAATTCAGTTGCCTCTTTTTAAAATGTAGCATTGAGGGTGGGAAGATGAGAGACCCTGGGAATGAGGTTGCAGCATTGCATGAGCCTGCATTTAACTATTTATATTTCACATTCCGGAAGAATATGTGCAGTTCCAACGTGAAATATTTTTCTGTAGACTTCATATTGCGATCATTGACCACGCAATGACGTCATAATTTACCATGAAATAAACATGGGGACGCCCAGCTTTTCTATTGTTATATGCTTGATACTGACCTAAAATAAACTATTGAACAATTATTTCTCGAGCACGCGTTTTATATGTGATACTAGGGAGTTTAAGAAGCTACGACGGCGACGCCGAGGACAACGTCGGTTAAAAAATGAACTTATATCTTACCTACGAATCTCGCGATACCCTAAAGTCATTTAGTTTGTTTCTCACTGTCAAAATTACCTCGAAACTGAATATGGAACACAGCGTTAAATTCGGAAAATAAATTTAAAAAATTAGCCGTTGTCGTGCACGTTCTCCAGACAACGCAGAATTTGGTCATTTCACGTTGTTTTTTTGCAAAGGACGGCAAAGAAATGTACCAAGGATTATAACGCACGTGCACAGCCATTGTTCTGCTCATTAAACCTTTTGTTGCCGTTGCCGTCGTGGTTTTCTTAAACTCCCTATTATTAAATATATAGCCAACGAGGCGTCTAGCGCCAATAATTGCTTTATCCAATAATTTAATTCTTTTTATTAAAAACGCCCCAAAAATATAGAAAACTAAAATGACATAGAAAGGCCCCGAAAAATTACTCATAAGCTTACCACAGTCGTAGAGCATGTTCTGATAAATAAACATTAGCCTCCATTTAGCGCGAAAAGATACTCGGATATTTGTCCTTGGACATTATCTGTTCCGAGAAGCGAACAGTTTTCCGAGAGCGTAGCTCGAGGAAAACTGTGAGCTTTGAGGAACAGATAATGTCCAAGGACAAATATCTGAGGATATTGTGTTTATTATCCTGCAGATCTGAAAATTGGAATATTCTCGGATATTCCTCAGTTTTAGCCGGGAAATATTCGGTCACGTGAAGCGTTTAGATCAATCGCGCACGGGCAAATATGATTGATGGATTATAATGGCTCATATACCATGATGGCTAAGGCAATGAAAACTCTTGAATTGCATTATCCAATGTTCAGTTTTTGACAGAAGTCATTATCCCTTCAGTAAGCAGTTTGAGGCCTGAGGAGGACTTTCACGTTATAGCTAATCTTCGATTTCTAGGAGAAACTGAAGTCTTAAGGGAAATTGGCAATTGGATGTGTTCTCCTAAGTGCTTTTATTTAGCCCGAAGGTTTGAAGTATTTACTCAGAACTTGTTTACACGGTCGTCAAGCGAATCAACTGCTCTGCAACTTCCCCTTATTTTAACTCATGGATGACGTTTTCATTCTACGAGCTGTAGTAGGCAGTCGAATGGCATTCTCTCACTTACTTGCTCGTATCGGAAGTTCGGAACCTGTGATTTTATTTGTAATTTAAACTACTTCAGGCAAGAAATTCAAATTCCTTTATCTTTTAATTTTGTTGCCAGCCACACTACATTTCTTCTGTATCTCATGCAGCTCCAGGAGAGAGAACATTTCATCACAGATGGTATACAAGTCAAAATCTACGATCGTGTAATTGTGTAAGTATTTGAGTAATGGTGGACAGATTAACGTCCAGGTTACTTTATACGAGTGAATTACATCCTCCAACATGATGTTCACCACAAGCCACGTCAAACATGCGTGGTGGCTCTAAGGTAGAGTTTTACTCAAGAAACGAGATATGCAAACAATTGGAATCAAAACTTGAAGTAATTAGTAAGAAAAGAAATCTTTGTACCGGTCATCATATTTTCTTTAATGCTTGCAAAAAATCTTTCAGAAAAGTCATATCTGCAGTCCTTGTGAATAAATCTATGTCCCACTCAAGTAGATTTGTGCAAAATATATATTCTTGGCATTCTCAAGCTGATTGTCTAAAAGTAACGTCAAAGTCATGTCACTCATTCATTCAGCATAATTTCAATACAGCCGTTTCATAACGTAACACACGAATCTAAACTGAAGGCCACAACCAAATTACCTTGACTCCAAATGCACTGCTGACTTGATAATATCATACATGCATATTGTAACCAACTCCACTGACTAGGTGTCAGGGCCGATGAAAATTTAAAATATTCCGTTTTAAAATTCATAATCTACTGTATTAACCAGTAATTTTATTTTTGTATTTCGTACCTAGTTATATGCTGTGCATGAGCTTCCAAAAATAAGTTTAAATCATTTCAAGAATTAACAACTCTAAACTAATTACGTAATTATTAAGTAGATGTGAGGAGGCAAAAGTATCCTCTGCGGACCTATATTTTCCCTTTTTATGGAATTCTTCAACGTTCCAGAACTTTCAGTACTCCCGATCACCAATCCTTCCTTCTTACCTTTTCTACACGTATCCAATTTATTCATGCACGAGCTGGCTCACAGGAGCCTTTGAGTTTATAATTATTATTATTTTATTTTAAGGTGGCTCCTTATAGTTTTACGATCGCACGAGCGCTGAGGAAGTAATCTGCGCGCGCTCAAAGGAAAACGTCAGAGTTTTTCGATATTTTATTACGTCAACATGAGCAAAAAAAGCGAGACTGACAGTGAATTTTCTCGCGTTTCCTTCGGTGAAATTCCGTTAAATTTGGCAGATTGGTAGTAAATATTTTATTTTAGTCGGAGCTCGTTTTTCAGGGAAATCTTTAAGACCAGATGTTTTACAGCAGTAAAAGACATAAATTTGAAAATATCGGAAAAAACGTCCTTTGCAAACCCTACTTTTTTCATGTTTAAAATTCGTATCCGACTGGAAGAGATGTGATGTAAAAATTTTGGAAGATTTCACCGAAGGAAATTCATGAAAATCACAAATAAAGCCACAAAAACAGTAAAAAACACATTTGTTTGGGCATTTATAATTTAAGACTTAATTCCAACATTTTAACAGAGATGATAACAAAATACTATTTAATGATTGCTTATTATAGGTAATAAGTTTGAGAGGACTAGATGTGAAAGCGAATGCAAAAACAGCATTCAAAACATCACACTAGCGCGCGCAACGCCATAAATGATTACCCTATGAAGACACCTTAATGATCTTCCACTTGACAGCATATTTTTTTCAATACTCGCTTCACAGCTGCGCGGATACCGTCATGACGCCAGCAATATACAAGAGGGTTCAGTGACGAATTCAACACAAAAGCACTGTAACTGGCGAAAACCAACCTAAAACCGCTCTTATTCAAGTTAATTGTCAGGCGTACCGTAGTTATGAAAAGCGGAAGATAGCACAGCAAATAGGCAAAAATAAGAAACATGCAGTTACTCGCAGATTTTTTAAACTTAATCATGTCAAAATGCTGCTCCTGCATTTGGGCTTGGCCTTGAATCTGTGCTTTGTGACGCCTTATGACTTGGTAAATTCTAATCCACACAAAAAGCGAGGTTAAAAAGCAGGCGGATTCTACAATAATTAAAGTCCATTGAAGAATGGTTATTGCTAAAAACGATGTCGCAGCGATTACTCCCCCTACTATCCACAGAGCAGCAAGAAGAAGTTTGATTTTTCTATTTGTCACAATTTCGCGATATCTTAGATGCAAATATACAGCTAGATATCTGTCAATACTTATAGTTGTCAGAGTCAAAAATGCAACTTTACTGGAGAAAATATTCAGGAAAACAGCTGCCGTATCCAGAGCACACGATCTCAGGCCATCGTTACTGTAGATAAGGAACTGGAGTGTGATGAAAAGTGGCTGAGCTACACATGCCACGCATAAATCAGACAAAGCCAAACCAAACAGCAAAGTATTCGACGGCGAGTGAAGCGAAGATGTCCGCCATATGGCAACCAAGACCAATACATTTTCAACCGTGGCTGTTATGCTCAGCAGTATGTGAAAAGAAATGTTGAAAACGAGCCATACAAGGTAATCGCGGAGTGAATCACGAAGGACTCCTTGGCAAATCACCTCTTGTAAGCTACACGATGTGTTGGTGCACACGGACATTTTCTCGGAAAGAACTCTTTTTCTTTTCTCTTTCCGTTCACCCAGTTACTCTTAATACAATTCTGGCCCACAGTGGCAGCTGTTGGCGAGGATTCTTTTCCACCTCGGTTAACCGTTTTGTTTTCTTTGAAGCTTGCTTTTACATCCGTTCACTTTCAGGGAAGGGAGCGAAGATTACTGTGCAACTTCCCTTGAATAATAAGTGACAATCACTAACGATATTTGCCCAGCTTTACGATATACCACACAAGTGAATAATGCTTTTCACGTGTTCTGATTGGTTCATTAACTCGGAGATGATTACATTGCAAAGTGCTATTCACCTCCATGCAGAGATTTAACTTGGAAATTTCCGACCATTCGCCGGATTGTTGGTAGGAAAAAGAATTTCTTTGGTTCACTAGTTATTCAGCCGGTGTGGTATATAAAGAAACATTTTTCACCTCAACTTCGGTGAATCATTATTAACTGTGCTCTTTCAGATTTTCTCTTATATGAGTTATCTTTTACCCAAGAAATTAATTGCGTAGGGTTGGAAAATCAGGGCTCTTACGAATGGAAGCTCGGCTTTTGATAAAGAAAGCCATTCAAATTCAAATAAGTCGTAATGTAAAATTGCTTAGTTGATTTAGTAAGCGAGACATCAATCTACTGATATGTAAATTGCGTTGCGCAAGAAGCCTACAGCAATTCTAATCACCTGAAGAGATTAAAATGATTGAAAATTTGAAAATTTCCCGTTTGATCGTAAATTGATTTTTTCCAAATTAATAAAAATAAGAAATACCGAGTCATGAAATAATTTTCAAGGAGAGCAATGTGAAAATGTAGTCAATAACTTATCAAAGCTATGTAAACATATATGAAAGTAGTTATTTAGGCTTTATCATGCACTATTAAATCGTAATGGTGATTTTTTGGCAGCAGATTTGGTCAAGACAGCGCTAAATTTATTATCTTCGCTTAGAGTATTTTTGCTCGCTGACGAATATGAATTATTTGGTAAAAAGCTGAAGCAAGAGCGGTCTAGTTGTAACTGACGATGACAGAAGTTTAACCGTGGAAACATGAATTTAAATCTGAAAAGCGTTGTCCTTTTTATAAAATTGTAATTAATTTTGAGTGATTTACATGATGGGAAAACAAATAGTTATGTCACACTTAAAATATGTCACACCTTAATAATATTTTTTCGCCTGTTTCCTAGACGCATTACCGAGCGGTTTGTATACGCAAATCCGTAGGTATCGTTTATTGCGAAATGCAGAATTGTATCTAGGTATATATACAGGTATACTTGATTGTATTGTTAAACTCCCTGAAGAAGTGTCCGCTAGTCACACGAAACGCGTAGGAGAAAATAAAAAGGGTTTTACAACTCAAGTAGTTCGCAGACGTGCTGTTCACTGGTTTTACTTTAAAAACAGTTTTACTTTAAAACATTTCTTGTACATTTATCTCCATGGTAATATTACTTGAAGTCCTTTTAATATGCCAGGCTTCTTTAATAAAAGTCCTTCTCTGACTTCTTTTAATGCAGCCATAATTTATATGATCTTTTCGTTGGACCTACATCCGAGTCACTTTACATTAATAATTGTTTACTTGTATTTTTCAGACGAAGACGTTATTTTTCTTAATATCAGTGTGTTCGAGCAATGACGACGGCGACACAGTTTAAAATGAATTTTATATTTTACCTTCGAATTTTTCAGTTACATGGATCTTTACAGAACGCCGATTGGCCACAAAACCTGCTCCAACTAACTATTTATCAGATTCCAAAAGGAAATATGTCGTGGAACAAGTTCTCCAAAATACGCAGGACTGGGTCATTTCAAGTTGTTGTTTTGCAGAGGATGACAACGAAATGTCAGGGGCGTAGCCAGCCTTTTTGCATAGAGGGGTTCCTAATGTATATCGCTTGGCCTATTGACAATCGAGCGCCGGAGGCACTCTTTACAAGGGGGGTCGGGGGCATGCTCCCCCGGAAATTTTTTGAAATTTGGGTCTTCAGAAATGGCGTTTCCTTGATTCTAAGCACAAATTTCTAATAATTTTAGCACAAAAGGTAGCTATTATTTCTAAGACGGGATTGCAAATCTCACTTGCTGAAGAGATGGACCTTTATAGAGTTAAAAATGGATAATAAAATAGTTGTTTAACATATTACATACTTCATCAAATGCTGTAGACTTGTGATTTACCGTTCACTCAGCTAAGATATCAGAAAGAAGGAGGCGCCGTGGATGCTTCCGTGCAAAAATGTCGATTGTTGCACCAATGTCAATTTGCCTACCATAATGGATGGTAGCGCAAGG